TCCATTTCAAATACTACCTCATGTGCTTTGCTCATCAACAGCTCTTAAAAACGGCCAAACTAAGGGTTTACTACCCCACTAAACATACTGGCTTATACAAGGCTCATCCGGCAGATGCTCATCCAAAAGCTTTTCAGAAAACTGTATATAAGAACAAATAACATCACAGAACTGTAACCAGATTATATTGGAAGTTGGAGGAATATTGAAAATAAAATATATACATTTTATATTTAGTTGAGGTTGACGTGACAAGCTTCTGAGAAGCAAAGATTTGCAGAAACTTTTTAAAACTAAGAACGGCGTTAATGAGGGATTACCCTGATCTCTCGGTGTGAATGATGAAAGGTATATCATCCTTTCCTATTCCCTGCTTACTGGAAGCTGGTTAATCTTTAAATGCAGTACTTTTTAAACCATTCATTATCACTTTTATTTTATTACCTCAGCTTTATTCAGCAATAGATCTCTCAGTCTAATAGACCTCTGCAGATTAATTGTCTCATGTGCTTGACATGTTAACCTTAATTAAAACCATTACGTTTCTTCATCTCTCCATCTCTAGTAGGAAGCAAAAACATTCCTAGTGTTCAATACATTGATACAATGGATCACCTTTCCACAGCTGTTTAGTCAGAAATAAAGGATTGTGAGTGGTGGAGCTCTGCTTGAAGCTCTGTTAGCTGAAGCTGCTGATTACAATCTGAAGGTGGGGTAAATCTGAAACTGAGCACAGAAACAAGTTTGAAGGAAAAAACCTGACCTTTTTCTGGAGGTTTAAGACCATTTACCAAACCACACAATAGTTAAGGAACATTCTCTCTCTGTGGATCTCTGCATGCTTAGTTAAAAAGAATTGCAGGTCTCATCCTGTTTTCTTACAGACGCTCAGTTTAAAGTTTGTGACCCAGCACTGAGATATTTTGTTTTCCTGGCTCCCCACCTCTGCCCCACAACCACCAGTCAGAGATGTGAAGCAGCCCAGCTCCTCCTGTGGATATGAGCAATGTCAACCCACACAAGTGTCACTCTGACCCATCATTGGACCGCAGAAAACAGGAAATGACCTCCAAATGTTTTTAAATATCAGAACTGATTTATCTTGCATTCTTGTTCGATTCAGCTTTTGATCAAGAAACTGTTTTTTTTTTAAACAGCACTAAAATCTGATATATTGATTACTGCTATGCAGAGATATCCATGCAGGCTTGCCTCTTCACTAATGAAGGGACAGATGGACTTACACATCTTCATCTGAACAGCTGCTCTCCTCCAATTAATGATTTAATCAAGTGACAAGTATTTAGCACTGTAGTGTGATCTGCTACATTGACTCATTACTAGGAGGGTTGCTGGAGGGTGAATGAACTAACACCATTATCCAATTTTAATGTGGCTTCAAATAAAAAGATAAAATGACAGATATTAGATGCATAGAAAATAATATTTACCTGAATTTCCTTGATAATCGTTACTTATGTTTATACATTGAAGGTGCCATTTTCTCTTACTATTGGCTCTTCAAAAAAACATCTAACAAACAAAAAAATTGGTTGATACAGTATGTATATCAAAATTAAGAATCAAGGCAATCAAGTCTCAAAGAAATTTGATATTTACTTAAATACTAAACTGACACCTGGGACAAGAGGGTTAGCTGGGAGACCATAAATCTTTTGGAAGTGTGATTCTGGAGATTTAGAAGCACAAATACTCAAATATGGAATTCCAGTCTCACGCAGTTTATTGAACAGGACTCTGTGCTGCACATCTATATAATCCAAATTGCTTTTAAAATCAGTCCTTGCCTTTTTTTACCAGCAGATATCCTCAGAAACAAATTAGTTCAGCTTTCAGACCTACTCAGAAAGGTGAACGGCGCAGAAGCAGACCGACATTACAGAGATGACATCCTTCTGAATCATAAGACCCTAACAGTATTAGATGAGAAACAGAAAGCATTTATAGACCTATTAAACTCAATGTTTTTAAACCCATAAAACGGTCTGCTATAACCTGAATTCTAATTCACACTCAAGTGGTCATTAAACCCATCTCAGACAGGCAAGGACAATAAGTGCACCTGCACTATTTTGAGGAAGAAATGGTCATTCTTTTGCTTCAGTCAAAAGAAATCCAAAAAACACGTTTTAAGTAACGATAATTACTTCATGGTATTCAAATCACTTGAGAGTTCATAAAATGGCATAGTACGATTTCAATATTCATGTCATTCCCTAACTACTAAGACAATGTGCTCAAAGAAATTACTCATAAGTTTTTTCTTCCATTACTTGAATACACTGTGATAAAACACAAAGAGGATTAGGAGTGGGAAAGAATTCTCAGGTCTTAGTTAAACACTTTTAATTTGACAGATTATTCTGATGATCTCCTGAACAGAAGAGAGAAGGAAATTATATTTTAATATGTTGAGCTGCAGATTCGTTTCAGACCGATCGGAGGATGAGAAAGGCCCAGGAGTTGTACTGTGGGTATGGGCGGCAGACACCTGGGCCACCCTGTGCTGGCTGTCCCTAAGAAATCTGTCTGTGAGCAGTGCTGGGTTCCTGGTCCCTACTCAATCCAAGAGATTTATGAAATGCTGAAACCAAGTAGCTCTGCAGCTTTTTCTGACTCTAGGCCACTTTCTCTACAGTTTCAGCCACCCCCCACCCCAGTACACTTTCCCTTAAAACACAAAAATGAAAGACTGAAACAACAGCCACTCAGGACTTGTACTAAGATTCAATTCATTTCTTTAAATAATAGTAAGGTCCACTGTAATTGCATAAATACAGAACATTCTTAATAGGATAAAAAAATAAGCCAATGTTACTAATCATTATTAGTTGTGAGATAATTATGATTATTATTATTTACATATTCTGCTATTATAGTGACTTCTCTCCTCATTACTGACAGAGCAAAGACAAACTAAAATGATGTTTTTTTCACGAATTTCTATTTATCTTCTTTTTGTCAAATGTGTACCTTAAGATTACAGAACTGTACATGAAAAAAATGAATACTAAGAAGCTGGAGTAGGCAAACAAAATACAGACAGATGGAAGAGCAGATCTTTGATTTAAGTACAAAAGAGAAAGCTCTATATACAGTATGCTTAAAATAGAGCAACTGGATATCTGGATAGAGCAATGTTGTTTTACACAAATGCATGAAAAATATATCTTAATAATTAAAATGGAAGTAATATCAGGTGGCGGTTGCAAAGGTATACTAACAGAGAAAAATATAATATCAAGGACTGACAGAAAAAAACAGCATTATGTCCTCACAGGTACTAAGAGAGAATGCAGGCTTCAGGGTCTGACCATTACTCATAGAGCAAGTGGAGAATTCATCTTCTGTGACTGCTGCATGCTTTGTAAAAATCAGTGCATACTGTATTTCAAGTAATTACAGTGTCTCACAGCAGCATCAAGGGGACAAAAAAGATCTTTGTTGTCCAGTGTCATGAAAATCACACAGGTCATAGTTTAATGCACCACACAATTTCACAACTATGTGTATTTGAAAGTCAAAACTACATTTATTAATTTATTAATAACCTCCCACTTCTTCAATATTCACCTTCTCTAAGCATTTCATAACAAATACAATTATGAAAACTGGTAAAATATATACTTTTGAAATTCTCAAGGTATTCAATAACTGCACTGGGGTATTCAGTAAAGTGTTGAAATTATATTTTATGATTTTCAATAGCATTCTTACAATTTTCTTTTCAGACCTCTCTGAAGAGTGAAACATCACGCGGAACTTCTCAAACAGCTCACTTAGTACATGGTCATTTTTATACACACAATTACAGGTCTGAACAGTTTGAAGACTTTGCAGCCTGAACTGAAACATTAAATGGTATTCATCAAATCAAGTGGTGATGAGAGATTTGAAGTTTACTCTGTCAAATGTTGACACATCAATAGGCAATATTAGGCCTCAAATCAAGTCCAGTGCAATTTAATCACCAGTATAAACCCCCCTGAAAGCAGCTCTTGAATCCTTTGTGCTTGTCACAAATTGGCCATCAAGGTTCACTGACCTGAGACTGATTTGGGCCCTGATGTATAGAGGTGATAGGCCAAGACACAGTATAAACCACTGCCCTGTCTATTTCTTCCCAAGTGTGGCTTAAAACAACAACAACAACAACAACAACAACCACCTTATTTTACAAAAGAGCAGCTTTTTTCTTTTAAAAACAGTTTTTTCTTTTATCTTTTCTTGTTCCTTGCAGCTTTCTGAAAAATGAGCAGACTGAGTTTCTATTTTCTGCCCTGTGGGGAATATCATGTTAGAATGAACCCATTCTAACATGAACTGAAGGAATAAAAAAGCTACGTCTGCATTTACTGTTATAAAATGAAAAGCTCAATGCAAACATACACATCTACTGTAGGTTCTCCTTCCTAGACTGATGCCCACAGAGCACATACACCAGTACTGTGAAAGCTGACACTAGCAGCACCAGAATGTTCCCATTGTACTGCAAAAGGTGTGAGGATCTCACATCACTACAGACAACTCATGTCTGTGTCAAAACATCATCACCACCGCCTGCACATACTGTACACACTTATTACACAGGACTAAAAAAGCAATCTACTGTACATCAAGAACATATTCTCGAACCTTGAAAGGAAAGTCCACCCCTTATCACTGTGTTCTAAGGTTTGAAGCATCATATGCGATTTCAATTGGAGCTTCTTATGAAGTTTATTTCCCTGTTTTTGTTCCTGCTTTTAGGGGAGTAGATGCTGTTAGCTCCTCCTGGCTAGACGGTCTTAATAAGTGACACTTCTCCAACTATGGATGGGTGAACGGCCTGTCAGACAGAGCGAGACTGAGAGTGGGGCTCGAGAGAAGAAAGCGAAGGTGGGGAGAGGGCAGGCTGGTCCACAGACATGCAGGTTAGTGCCCAGCAGCGCAGGAGCCCCAAGCTCTGAGGTGTTCAGTTGGACCAGGTGCTGTCCTACCTTGAAACACGCAGGAGCAGTGTATGGAGGTGGGGGTTGGAACAGTGGTGGCTCTAGTGTGCTAGAGATGTGAGGGTCCCCTCCATCCTGTTTCCTGCAATGTGAGCAAAACACAACAACGTTAGGCACAGGCCTACCTACTGCTGGAGGACATGAGCTGGGAAACCAGGAGGAGACAGAAATCCTCTTTCCATCTCCCGATCCACTTACTGTGTACTGCACTGAAAGCAGCCACAGCCATTTCATTAATGCTGAAAGAAAAGTCCATTTGTTTTACACAGGTTAAGAAAGTTAAGAAAAGGGCAGTAGCTATGTTTGTCCGATGTGTTCACCTATCAGATGGCAACAGCAGTAAAATACAATTGACATGGGTTGTGACTATAATGACGCAACTCATAGTTTTCCTCTATCCTATGGAATCGGTGGAAGGTGGCACAGATAACTTGAAAAATAAGAAGTCTAACCATTCCGTTCTGCATGCTTGATTGGCTGAATTGTTCTGACAGGAGCCTGTTTTTAGACTGGACAGAGTGCTTTGACCTAGTCCTAATGCATTATTTTACATTTGTGACAAAGGCAGAAAAAGAAAAGACACATCCGGATCAGCGAAAACAACCAGTTCTTAAGTTCCTTATCCATTTGCCAAGATCCACACAGAAACCTGGAACAAACTTGTATTACATGTGAAATACACAAGATGCACCAGAAGGCAGATAAGAGAAAAAACAAAAATAAATATGTAAATAAATAAACAGGTCAGTAATGATCAAATCACCATAAAACTCGCATTTTCTAAGAGCGCAGCAATATACTATGAAATCAACAATGATCTCTCATTATGGCAGAGACCGTGGTTCAAAATCCACATTGGTTGAAATCTGTGATTCGTTTTACATATGGGTTTGCAAAAATTATGAAAACAGTTCAGGAAAAAAGGAAAATATTATCAAGAGAACTGAGATCCTAAGAATATTCTAATAGCCCTGCTGTTCACTATGGGGTTATTCGAAATTATGGTCTAATACCATTAAATGAGGACCTATTTTCTGTCAACTCTAATTGTTTTTCCCCAACAAATGATTTGAAACTTCCTTTATTTACCACTTAAAAGACATACATAGAGTGCGTGTCTCTGGAGAGGTTATTAAGATCTGTCAAATTAGCCATATAGCAAGCTGTTCATACAGTAGGTGGGTGTTGTGTAAAAACACACCAAAGTGAACAGTTTCATCTGACAGGGAGGGGTGTAAATTAGCTCTTCAAATACTGTATATCTCTGTCCTTTAGTTATAACGACAAAGGCAGCATTTTGCATCTGATTTAATATTCCTCTATTAAGTATAATTTATCATCAAAAGATTATGTGGAGTATAGCTGATGAGACATGTCTTTGTAATCACCTAGGTAAAAGAAAATATACTATAATTTAATACTAATGTCTTTATTTTTATAACCGACCCATTCTTTCCAAAATGTGATAATACAGCATCATGTAGGTGCTAGGTCAGAGAAGGAGACTATATATACAGAAATGAAAAGCTGTTACCTTTCTTTTTCAATCTAACCAGAAAGTGACATTTCATTCATTTTTTTCTGAAAGACACTTCAGACATTAAAATTGTGTATTTTGTAACCAGCACTTTGATTAGAAAATAAATGTAAGAAAATAATAAGAAAATGCTTACATTGTATTGTGCAGTTAGAACTGGATAGGCTATGCTCCTAAAATATTTTGTTCTAGCTACATTTCTAGTTTCTTTGTATGCTACCTTTCATATTTCCCCTAACATTAAATAATTCAAATACCTTTTATTAAAATGTGAATACATGTATTTCAAGAATATCCTGAAGCTATCCTTTTATCTCATAATATACAAAATTCATGAGGAAAAAAGATGTAACTTAAAAAAAATTGAGAAAGAATCATTACTGTTATATAGTATACATGTTCATACCACTGTTTTGAAAAGTCTCTCATTGTAGTCATTAATGAAAAAGCTTACTGAGTGCAAACTGTGATTCTTGTTATTTTACTATAGTTCATTTTTGAGATGTCCGAAGGGCAAATAGAATTAATTTGAACCACTGCACAGCTGACCCTATTTAAATAATTCCCTAAACACACAGTGTGGAGCCCAGGCCAGCCTTTAGTAATCAATATCAATTCACCCAAAAGCCCATTGTGGTGCCTCTCATGCCATTTTCCTCCTCCTTGAAGCCTATTGATAATGACAATTCATAGCAGGTGGGACATTTTGATAAAAAAAATAACAGAGGTGAAGAAGACAGAAATCTGTGCTTTAATTTAGAAGACAGCAGGACATTCGATACTCAGCTTCAATACAGGAAGGTCCATAAGCTTAAAGCACATAGATCAAGATGGCGATTTTTGATTGATCGGTCACTACTGGTGGGGTTAATCACTACTGGAGTTTATCAATGTGTGGAAACCTTCTGGTCTCTGTGGCTTAGGATACAGTATCCCTTTGTCAGCAGGTATGTGTGTGTGCCAGTGTTCCTCTCTCTATGCTTTGGGCTCCATTGAAAGTGCTCTGCTCAGGGTGCCTCTGATTTACCTGCTGATCTACAGCCTTGCCTCAGGATTGTCAGGCAGTGACCCCTGCAATGCCAACACGGCCCCACACAGTGCTGTAATCTGCCTGCCCTTTCAGGCCCGGCGGTTAGCAAGCTGGAGTGCAGGGAGTACCGAGGGGGAGAGGGGGGCGCCTGTGAGCAGGGCATGGCAGAAAACATTGGCAGGGAACCGACATCAAAGGAGAAAACATTCTTTTTTTTTGTTTAAATGAATATTTAAACAGGCCTTATAGCCTGCTGTACAGCAGTCAGTGCCTCTTCCAAAAACAACCCCTCCTCCCCTCTCATCATCACCCGGCATTCTGATGTCCAAGCCTCCAGGCACACGCTGACCGTGTGAGCACACCACACTTACTCTCATGTTATTATTCTTTACTGCGGCTGCTGTTTCCCTCAGAATGTGTGATCGCAAGGGGGCTTAATCAGCAGTAATATACCCAGCACGCGTGCATTAGCTCTCTGGCCTTTTGATAATGCACGGCTACCCCATCTGTTCCTTCGCCAAATGTCAATGCTAATTGCAGGTAATTACCAGAAATGCTGAAACGTATAGATGACTCTTCTAAATTGTTATTCATCGTGTCAGTGTAAACACCATCTTTTCCCTTCTTCAAGCATCTAAAGCATAGCTTTTGGCAGTGTGAATGGGCAGGAGAATGGAAAAGGAATTTGGGAATGCCTCATTAGAGCGCACGGCAGTGAGGTCCAAACACTCTTTGGATTCGACTGCATGCAGTTCCTGTCAGGACCAGTCACTCCCTGAATAAAAAAGGAAATAGGAAAAATGTGGAAGATTTAAGAACATAATTTCATTGCAGGGTAGTGCAATGGTTGTATTGCCTTGCAGCACAGCGGGTAGAATTCTAGACCTGGGGTGCTGTCTGTGAGGAGATAGTATATTCTTCCCTTGCTCAAGAGGGTTTCCTCCAGGTGCTCTGGCTTTCCCACACAGTCCAAAGCCATACTGGCAGGTGTATTGGCCCTGGTGTGAGTGCCATGCAATGGACTGTCATCCCATCCTTCGTGTACCCAGCCTTGTACCCATTGCTTGCCAGGATAGTTTCCAGGTCCCCTGCAACCTTGTACTGGATGCAAAGATCCGGAAAATGAATGGATGGAATTTCATTGCACAGACGTCTCTTTGCATTCGCCTCACACAAAAGACCTCTACCTGTGTCCTGTTCCAAATACAGAAATGGCCTGTTGTTGTTTTGGTTTAAGGAACTGTCCTTCACTGAAACCACACACCAAGCAAATTTGTAAGACAGACTAGGATATTTAGCTAGTGTAGAGAAGGAAAACAGTTAAACTAAAAGGGCATTAAATGAACTTGAAACAACAAACATCTTTCTTTTGGTTGAAAAGGCCACTGAGGTGTGGTGAATTGCCCGTTATACTAATGGACAAGCTTCCAAGCATAGCCTTAAGACCTCCAGAACTGTTTCATCTGTTTTCAGTCCAAGTAAGATAAGCTAAAATAGCAAAATCTGTTTTTAATACATGCATTCTCACCAGTGTAATTGGCATCTCCATACTTTGAAAAGCTTTTCAATTCCCTTCCTAAATTTGTAAGAACTGGATTATAACACCAGCAGTTTATAATACAAGCCCATAGTGAGCAAATATTAATGAGCTCTTCTACTCTGCCCTTTTAAAGAGATAAACACCATAAGTCCCTTCACAAATAATGGTAAAACATAACCAATTTATTAACACAACATATAGTCACTGAAAATAAAACCCACCACTTACAAGAAAAGGTTTATTAATTCAATTGGCCAAGGCCCAGTTTAAATCGAAGCTTTTACCTACTTCAATCACAATAGCACCTTTCCATTGTATTGCTTTTGCAATCTTTAACTGCTGGGGGGTCAAAAGTTTCATTCAGTCTGGGCTAACATCACATTACAAACCATTATAGATTTAAAAGGTACAGATAACTACAGATTCTTGCTTCTAATGAATGTACTGAATGCTACAGATTTAGGAACTGTTCGTTTTATACAACTTGTCAGCCTAACTAGGATATAGTCTTGAATTACAGACTGCTTACGGCTCAATATCTAACAAACAACAGTGATATGAGGCCCCAGGAAGCATTTATTTTGAACAGACAGCTCTATTGAGATATTCTTTATGACTATAGGAAGAAAGGTTGATTAGGTAATTATTATACATGTAATTATCAGCTAATTAGAACACTTTTGAGACAGTACCTCAGTCATAAATGGCTTGGCAACTGTGGAATACCAATTTCTCACTCTAATAAGTAATTTCTAATTAATATTCAATAAAAAGAAGCCTTGCTTCAAAGTAATGAGTTTGGGACTCTCGTCACAAACCAAGAAACATTAGATGCTTTATTTTATCATTGTCTAAGCAAAAAGAGAATATACTTAAATAAAGTCACATTACTAAAACTGGGAAGGACAAAACTGTATAATGGTATTGTTGGCAAATGGCTTTATATACAGAAAAATTTTAATGAGTTACGTGGAA